TTGAGATGGAGTCCCGCTCTGTCACCCAGGCTGTAGTACAGTGGAATGATATTGGCTTACTGTATCTTCCACCTCCTGGGTTCAAGCAGTTCTTTGCCTCAGCCTCCCAAGTAGCTGGGATTACAGGCTCCTGCCACCATGCCCAGCTGATTTTTGTATTTTTAGTAGAGACAGGGTTCACCGTTTTGACCAGGCTGGTCTTGAACTCCTGACTTTGTGATCCACTTGCCTTGGCCTCCCAAAGTGCTGAGATTACAGGCATGAGGCACCGCACCTGGCCTTACTTTTTCTTTTTTTTCAGGGTAGAAAATACATTGCAGAAGTGCCTCAGCAGACTTTCCCTGCTATATTTTTGGCTGGAACTAGATAGAGTCTCATTTCTAAATCAGTCACTGGCAAAAGGCCCTTGTGGTTTTGCCTAATCATGGTTTATCTCTGGGTAGGTGCCCAGCTTCTATGAGGGCCCTACCTTCTGGATAAAGCTAGAGCCCTGTTAGCAAGGAAGAAGGGAATAATGACTATTGAGCAGGCAATCAAGTGTCTAGTAATTCTAAGCCTCAGTTTTGTTAATGAAATAGTCTCAAAATATATGTTTTAAAACATTGAGCACAAAGATGTGTATCACCCTGCTATCTTAAAAGCACAGACATTTGGATAGCACTGAAAATGTCCAGCAATAGGAAATGGTTAAGTAAGTTTTGTTAAGTAACGATATTATGTAACCATTTAAAATATTTGCAAAGAGTTTTTATAACAGTTTAAAATGTTTACAGTAGAACACGAGGTTAAAAAAAAAAAGAAAAAAAACCAGGACGTAAGATTTCACAGGTATTAAAAGTTAAGACCTAAACAAAATACTCTGGACAGGGGATTTTTAAAAATAGATGATACAAAAGATATCAAAATTCTATAGTGACTGTATGTACATTATTAGATAATGGGTGATGTTTTTTGTTTTTGTTTTTTACATTTAAGTCTTATTTAAATCTTCATTGGCTGGGAGTAGTGGCTCACACTTGTAATGTAAATACTCTGGGAGACCAACACAGGTGGATCACTTGAGGTCAGGAGTTCGAAACCAGCCTGACCAACATGGCAAAACCCTGTCTCTACTAAAAATACAAAAATTAGCTGGGTATGGTGGCACACACCTGTGTCCCAGCTACTTGGGAGGCTGAGGCAGGAAAATCGCTTGAACCTAGGAGGCAGAGTGTGAAGTGAGCTGAGATCATGCCACTGCAGTCCAGCCTGGGTGACAAAGCAAGACTCCATCTCAAATAAAATAAATTAAAAATAAATAAATATTTATTAATCATGTTTTATCATTTTAAAAACAAACATTAATTTGTACATTTATTAAAACAGATATGTCCTTGCTGATGGTAGCTAAATCTTTTCTTAAATTCCTTATACTCCTGTTTATAGAGATGAAAATGCTGCCCTAACAAACCATGGCTGGTTTTTCCTCTATTATGCTGCCTCATTTGGCAGGTTATAAGATTCCAAATTGAGAGTCAAGGGTGTCTTGCCTATGCTGGCTTTTATGGCATTCTGTACTACCCAGTATGTACTAGATGCCCAAGAAAGTGTTTAATTAATTCTATCCCTTTGTCATTTACCTAAGTGATTGTTCAGTCCAAAAGAGTCAATAACTTCTAAAAAGATTTAAATACATTTTTGGATTCGTGATCACTTCCTAGTTCTTAAGGAAGTACTGTCTCCCGTGGTGTGTCTGTTAATGCTATATACAGGCAGCAAGCACATCAGCCCAGGGGCACGTCAGTAAACCATGCTCACTGGGCAGCTCTATGTCCAGGCGCTCTCCACGCTCATTCATGATGTAGTCTATAAATCACAAGCTCTCAGAAGGAGCAAAACACCAACAGAAACACAAATGGAAGAAATGTGCAAATATTAAATGGCATGCTGTGAGATCTAGGGTAGATAAACATGCCACCCCACTGCACTCATTTCTTCCAATTGACAGAGCGTTACCAGGCCATCTGTGTTTCACAAATCTGTGTAGAAAGACAGGTGACTTCACATCAGTAATTTATGCTTCAGGGGGAATTATGGCTTCTTACACTTTGGCTCTCTGATGATTCAGCTCGAGGAGATGCATCTAGGGATTCAGATACTGTCAAGAATCCCTAAGCGAAACTCCCTTACATGTGACTAACGTGGGGGTGCTGCCTCATAGTTCACACACTCGTACACACTGTCTGACAGAGGTTCTATAATCACATTTACTGTGGCAACACTATTGAGATCTCACTCTATAGTTCCTTACTAATACCAATTAGTGGTTATAATAAAATGCATTCACTCTGTTTATTCACTTAACATGAATTTTTTTTTAACATCTGCTACATGGTAGGCACTTTCTTGGCATGGTGTAGGTTAAGCAGCCTTCTTTTCTTTGTCATTCCTTCCTCTCAATGGCACTGAAGAGGAAGCCTTCCTTGCAGCCATACCTTGTGAGGCAGCCACCTATAACAGCCCAACTCCTGCTTTGAGGAATGATAAACCTGTTAAACCTCCTGAGACACCTCCCTTCATGAGCTTCACTGTAGCCTCACTCCGTTCATTGCCTGTTCATTTGCAAATGGATAGTGAGTGTTGTGATGGCTCCGAAAAGGACCGTAACTCTCTTAAAATTCATTGAACTCAATGTAAATATATGGGCAAGAATGACTTGTGTCTGGAAATGTGTGCTCAAACAAAAAAAAATTTTAAAAACCTAGCTCCAACGTCTAACTGTGTAGCAGGAGTCTGACATGGAACACGGAGCACATGAAGCCATTTTCAGATAGTGTCAACCTAATGAGAATGGAGATTTTGAAAAATCAATATGGATTCTGTATCCAGATTTCTTTGTCACTGGCCGTCTTAATATGTTTGTGTGTTGCTATAAGGGAATACCTGAGGCTGGGTAACTTATAAAGAAAAGAGGTTTATTTGGCTCGTGATTCTACAGGCTGCACAAGAAGGATGGCATCAGTATCTGCTTCTGATGAGGGCTCAGGCTGCTTCCATTTATGGTGGAAGACAAAGGGGACTGGGCATGTGCAAATAATATGGTGAGAGAGGAAGCAAGAGGGGAGAGGGGAGGTGCCAGGCCTTTTAACAGTCAGCTTTTGTGGGAAGTAGGAGAGTGGCAACTCTATTACTCACTCTCACCTTTCACTGAGAATGGGCATTAGTCTATCCATGAGGGATCTGCCCCCATGACCAAAGCAACTCTCTTTAGGTCCCTCCCTCAACATTCAGATCAAGTTTCAACATGAGGTTTGGAGGGTCAAACACACCAACTATAACAGTGACTAAAAGAAAAACATGCTGGATTGGTGACAAAGTAAGACTCTGTCTTAAAAAAATAAAATTTTAATGATCTATTTGTTATTTCTTCAACATCTATTGATCACGCATCTTTTATGTTTCAGTCTCTTCGTTAGATACTGAGGATATAGCATTAAAGAAGTCAGACATGCTTCTTATTTTCATGGAGCTTAAAACTTGGTGAGAACAAAACTTTAACAAATAAGCATATGTAAATATGAAACTGTAATCAAGATAAGGACTATGATGGTCATCACACACTGCTTTTAGCCATGACTTTTATAAACAGATTTTCATGTCTTCTGGCTTGGTCAATAAAATGAAATACTTAGCTTCTGAAAAAGACATGTAACGTCACCTTATTTTTCAGGCAAACAACTCTAGCACATAGCTTTTGAGTGGTGTGAAGTCTTCAGCAGTTCAGATTCAGGAATCCAAGTCATGACATTTAACCCACTGAGATAGGTAAGTTAGGGAGGCTTCCTAAGATGAGAGTTTTTGATGGCAAAACCACAGTTTAATCTGGACCTAAGACTGCAGAAATCTCAGAATATCAGCTTTAGAAATTGCCTTTGCAGGCTTACAGACAAGCAGGTGGTTATAAGCACTGAGTAAAGGATCTGAGCCTTCCTTGAGCTATCCCAGACCCTCACTCTGGCCTCTAGAAGAATGCCCTCATAATACCCTAGCCTCCTGGAGCTTCCTCTATGTGTTGGCCCTCAAGAATGGGACACATGAAAGACAGCTCAATGCTGTCTGCCTCCTAGGATAGCCATTTAACCAACAGAAAAGCCACTCATCTTTGCCACCATCTTTGTTCAATGGTGAACATCCTTGATTCTCTGGCCCTCCTCTTCAACTCTCTTCTTTTACTGTTCAAATAAGTACCAAGGAAATATTAGCAAGCTCATTGCATAAGCAGGTGCTCAACCGTGGCTCATGATACTTGTCTCCCCTTTTTGCTAGCTCCACCTATCTCTGATGAGCGTTCCCCTGCAGTTCTTCTGCCTCATTGAATTTGTGGAGTGATGAAGCTCTACTCACCTTTAGGGGAGAAAGGGAAGTCACTATACTCCCAATTAGACAGGAAGCACAACTTCAATATTTCTTGGCCTTCCCTTCTCTCCTCTCTAGCCTTAAACTTTTATTGAAGGCAGTGATGGTTATTGCTGATTGTCTTCTCAGAGGAGGATATCTGTCTCCTGATTTATTCTTTTCTTTAAACTGTGGAGTAAATTCCAGAACAACAGGGAAAGCCCCATTCAAAATTCTTTCAAATTTGCAATATACTAACACAAACGTAGAAAGTTAGCAATTGCTTGTGAAGACATGTTGAGTGAGTGAGGGCACAGAATACATTTTGTGCTGTGAAAACAAACACACACACACACACACAAACACACACAACACCCAAGCCCCTATATATTGAAATGACAAAACTTGAAGTCATTTCAAGGTTGAGGTTCTTGCCTTTTTACTGAAGTGAATACATCATGAACTGTGCAAACTAATCTTGAGTGTTTTGGGGCTCAGACCAAGAGTAGTTTAATTCCAAGAATAAATTGTAGCTTAAACTTTGTCCTATTAGCCAAAAAATGAAGATATGAGAAAATAAGTTCTATGTTCTTCTCATAATGCAACTCCAATTATTTGACTTATAGCGGGCTATTACAAAGGTGGAATAGACAAGAAATTACTCATAGTTCAACCCAAAATAAAGGAGAGAAGACGCTCTTTCCCTCCGTTAACAGTATGTAAATTCTAAGACCAGCAAAACTGGTCTTCCAGGAAGGAAGGGCAGGAGGAAGTGAGCAAATAGGACTGAAGAAAGAGGTTTTCTGAACATACACACAGTATTGCTGGCCCTTAGTTCCTTTTAGTTGTTCCATGACCACTTGTTAAAGGCAGCATTTTATACCTGCCTCCCATACAGATGATCATCACTGCAACTTGGGGTGTCAAGTAATCATTTTCTTTCTGGACATAACTCATAGCTAAGCTCCTTACTAACTAAAAAGAAAATGTTTGAATCTTTCCTTTTCAGTGCAGACTATTCAGCTGGTAGCCATCTTGTCTGGAAAAGTAACTGTTAGGTTTTATTCAGTTCAATCTTCACCCAAACATACACCTTCATTTACAGGTGGCCATGTGTCATAGTTTTTCAGAGGAAGGGAAGCTGACATTTGAGTTTTCTTCATATCTCTCACAACCTTGAGAGAAACAGCCACCAGTAGTATTTCCTATTTTCACTTGTATAGCAAATTGATTTTAGAGCTTCCCAACCTGATCCCCGAGCTTGACCTCTGATGAATGAAGTGTATTCAAGGAGAGGAACAGTGAAGTAAATAAATTATCTCATAACACTAGGGAATCCATAAGCACAGGAAAACTGCATGGGCAACAAAATATAGGTATTTCTGACAGCACCAATGGATGAACACAAGCTGGAATGAGGTCAAGGCTTGCAGGCATTTGATGTAGCTCTATATCCTCATGCCAGATGTGGATTATGATATAATTACAATTGGCTCTGTCTAGTTCTCAGGCCTATGAAATATTTAAACATCTTTTTCTAGCATATGTAAGAGGCAAAGAACTTAGAATTTTCCTTCAATAAGCAAATCACTTTAAGAGAGTTGGAGATAGGCTTTCTCTTAAATCATGGCCTAGTTTGGGGCTTGAGTTTCTTTCCAGGGGACTCATTCTGTATTCATGTTCAATCTGGTTGCACGGCAGGGAAGTGTGGCATTGAGTTTGTGGTGCAGAGGATGAAAAACAAGGCAAAATCATCATGACAGCAGAAAAGAATAAATTCAGTTTTTTCAAAATCTTTCAACGGCTGATCAGAGGGAGCCATTTCTATCCTGCTTAAGATGAAGCTGTTCAGCAGACATCCCCCAGGACTCTTCTGATTAAAGCAGTTTTTGCATAGCGTTAGCCAAATCTCAGCCAGTTCAAGGTCCTTTAAGTGCTACACTTTCTTAAGATTGAAAGATTCTATTTGATACCAAAACAGCACTGGATGGAAAGAAAAGATCAACATGAAGGGCATTTACACAAAGGATGGTTCTGATTCAATTTCTTTCCCAATGGATAGATTCATTCTGGGCTCAGGATATTACATTGCTGATAGAATTTTTTTCAAGTCTCTGCTGTAGGCAGTTTAACTTGTCTAGTGGTCTGTTTTTATTTCCAGTTCTCCTTGCAATAAAAGAAACTGAAATTCCTGGGCTCTGACGGAAGCTTTCTGAGCTGCCTTAGTGACCTGTACAAGCCATCAGAGGTCGGAACCAGCTCTAGAATGAGTGGGTGCAAATGTTCCTAAAAACCAGCTCTTGGTTTTCTGCAGGAATGGTGGAAACAAGAGAGCATTGACACTTCTGATGCATGAAAAATTTCCTAAGCCTCGTTACAATCCTAAATCTCAGCCTCCTCTTCCATTAGGAATTTGGATTCCAGATATACTAGTCAGTGGCTGCATTGAGCTACTTTTTGTTTTCTCTAGTTTACTCTTAACTAGACTTGAGTAGAAAAATAAAGTGGCAAGACATCAGAAAAGCCTAAGAACCAGACAGTTCAGAAGTTGGATACTCATTTTCCAAATAGAATAATAGAGTGTAGGCTCTGTTTGGTAAGGGTACTTAACTTTAAGGATGCAAACACTCAAAATGTGTTTTTCCAATTTAAATAAACATATAATCTGAGTGTGGATATTTGGGAAGCAGGGATTTGGGGAACTTAAATCTTTCTGGCTCTATGTTATCCTTATGGTAAGCAGATTGGGTCTGAAGCTGTTGTTTTGAAGAAATATTCACTGAAGCAGCAGATGAAAACATTGTGGCTGTGGCATTTTTTTTTTTTTTTTTTGAGTATGACAAAGCATGAATAGTGTCCTCTCCTTGCCCAAAGAGAAAGGGGACATGACTATTTCCCCAGCCTCTCAGCTGTGCCCTAGTCAGGCTGAAGGGAGCCAACTGGGCTGTTAATATGAAAAGGTGCCACTCGCAGGGTTCAGACAGTTCCAGCCCTTCTTTATTGAGTCCTGCTTGTTTTATAATCAATCGGAACTGGTTTTCTTCAGTTTTCATTAAAGAGCCACTCTAAATAGATGCTCAATGTGGTTTATCCCTCCTAGATGGAGGGCAAGGCAAGTGATGAAAGACCATTTCCTAAATATCTAAATACAGTATACACACACATACACGCACAGGCTCACACTTAGCACCTTTTACACTGTGGTGTGCCTTTACTATCCCTTAATTAGAACGTCATAGATGAGTTACAGACTAAAGAGCAAAATCAAAGAGAGAGAGAAAACAGTCTTTTCTCCTTCCTTGCACATATATATTAATGCCTAGGTTTAGACTTTAATGTGTCTGTTATGATTTATTGGGGATACAACATTAACAGGCATCTACATAAGGTGAAAAAATTTACTTGAAACCCTGCCTCAACAACAAATCTGTTTTCATTTTGTTCTCTTTCTTTCCTGTTTCCATCCCAATGTTAGCAATGTTTTATTTGCCATTTATCTTTGAGTTTATAGCAGCATTGCTTGTGATGAACATCACTGATTTATTAGCAGATGTTCAGAATGAAAAAATGAAACATTAAATATGATGGTAAAATGTATTATGAACACAGAAAATGAATAAAACTGTGAAATCTGTGCATCTTAGAATTGAGGGAGCATGTGACTTGCCATTTCATTACATATATGATTTTTATCTGTTTTTCTAATATCAGCATTTGTCAGGGCTGTGTGTAGATTTTAGAATTCTAATTTTTATAACCTTAAATTATGTTATCAAGAGACATCATATTGGACATGCGACTTTAGCAAATATTTAAGCCTCTTTCTAGTGCTGTGCTTGAGCTGGCTTGTACCAGCTTTTGCGAGTTAATTGTGCCCATCTCTTCCCTATTCTGAGTTCAGTGACTTCAAATTGGTAGCTAGAAATTACCTAGGATGCAGGTATTTACACCTTGAAAATTGGCAAATGTTACAAACTTACCAGCACCACACTGCTTATTTCTGTTATAAATAATACTGTAATGACATATTTGACTAAGCCTCTCAGTGTTTTTTTCCTTCTGGCACCTGGAAGAATTCCACCAAGGGGATAATAGTAAAGTAATAATAAACAAAATCTAACACTTCCTAAGTGCCAGATACTATGTAAAGCTCTTTATTTAATCTTCGAAACAACCCTACAAACTAGGTATTGTTACTTGCACTTTCATTTTACAGATGAGAAAACTGAGGCTTAGAGTAATTGGACAAAACTCAAGTAGCTTGTCCAAAGCCACACAGCTAATGAGTGGCAGGCCAGAGTCTGAAATGCAGGCAATCTGGTGCCAGAGGTTATTCCTTGAACCACAGTGCAATCAGTAACATTCCCAGAACTCTAGCTCTGAGCACCAACAAATGGACCCTCTGCTCCCCCAGCCTATCAATTTGAAGGCCTACCTTCCCTGTCATAAGTCCAGTAGGATTCACATATTCTGCCTGGTCATCCTGATGCTTGACAGTCTGAAGCTTCTACTGCCAGACCCACTTAGGGTGCCCATTCTCTTCCTTGCACCAATTGGTTCCAATAGTAAGTTAAGGCTTCCCATTCATCAGATGTCTTCAGCCCTCCTTCATCATAAATTCTTCCTTGCAGTCTTCCTAGTGATGTAGCAATCCTTCACAGGGTTCTAGATTTGCCTCAGCTTCAGTAATGTCACTCCTATCGGCACATAGATTTCTCTGTCTTTCTTTGTATTGATTATTATACTTTAAGTTCTGGGGTACATGCGCAGATCATGCAGGATTGTTGCATAGGTATACACATGCCATGGTGGTTTGCTGCATCCATCCCCCTCGTCATCTATATTAGGTATTTCTCCTAATGTTATCCCTCCCCAATCTCCTCATCCCCTGCTATCCCTCCCCTAGCCACCCCCAAAACAGGCCCCGGTGTGTGATGTTTCCCTCCCTGTGTCCATGTGTTCTCATTGTTTAACACCCACTTATGAGTGAGAACATGCAGTGTTTGGTTTACTGTTCTTGTGTCAGTTTGCTGAGAATGATGGTTTCTAGATTCATCCATATCCCTGCAAAGGACATGAACTCATCCTTTTTTATGGCTGCATAGTATTTCATGGTATATATATGCCACATATTCTTGATATCCAGTCTATCATTGATGGGCATTTGGGTTGGTTCCAAGTCTTTGCCATTGTAAACAGTGCTGCAATGAATGTATGTGTGAATGTGTCTTTATAGTAGAAAGATTTATAATCCTTTGAGTACATACCCAGTAATGGGATTGTTGGGTCAAATGGTATTTCTATTTCTAGATCCTTGAGGAATCGCCACACTGTCTCCCACAATGGTTGAACTAATTTACACTCCCACCAACAGTATAAAAGCATTCCTATTTCTCCACATCCTCTCCAGCATCTATTGTTTCCAGATTTTTTAATGATCACCCTTCTAACTGGTGTGAGATGGTATCTCAATGTGGTTTTGATTTGCATTAGTCTAATGACCAGTGATGATGAGTTATTTTTCATATGTTTGTTGGCTACTTAAATGTCTTCTTTTGAAAAGTGTCTTTTCATGTCCTTTGCCCACTTTTTGATGGGGTTGTTTGTCTTTTTCTTGTAAATTTGTTTAAGTTCTTTGTAGATTCTGGATATTAGCCCTTTGTCAGATGGGTAGATTGCAAAATTTTTTTTCCCATTCTCTTGGTTGCTGGTTCA